CACTTCTAATCTGATCTACACAATTTGAATATTACTCTCATAATCAAACTGTTATGGTTCCATACGTATGTTTCTATGGTGGAATCTTCAATCTCCAAATATAAGCAGTAATATAGGTCAGTACTTGGCTTCACTAATTTGCTTTCTGGTGCTTGGTTGGTTTCAACACAAGCTCTGCCACTATGACAGATGTCAGCTGTCTTACCCGAATGCCACCTTAATTCAGCAACAGTTGGCTTCACACTCTCAAATCTTTGTGTTTGGCAGATAGCCCCATCGTGTTTATGATTCAGTCTGGCAACCTTCCAGTGAGAGGCCTTCTTCTGTGAAGAGACAATCTTAGAGAAGTCATGGGTTCAAGTTGGGGTAGGTGTCATCCCTGCCGAACAGTGATGAGAATCTCTATCAGTACAGTGACGGCTTCACAACAAATCTTTATATAAAGGAAGGCGGGAAAATGGTCTCTTCTGAAAATGTGTTGCTCTGAAATCTAATTGTTTCTAGAGGGCAAATAAATTTGCTGCTTTGGGAGAGTTTAGAAAAGTTTTTAACTGCAATGCTTTTGTTATGATTACCAAAGTCTTTGGTCAAAACACGAATTAAAATGCAATTGGAACACTTAAAATGAAGCATGTGGGGAGTATGATGCGTTCACCTTTTGAACACATTTCTTTCTAAGTGCTTGGTTTTATAAACCAAACACCTCATGCAGTTAACTGTGTTTGGAAACATTATTTTAATGCATTTTTCCTTTCTCCCTGTCAATTTCCGACATTCAGCCTTTTGATATTACCGCCGGGGGGTGGTGACGTGTTCGGAGGTCTGTGATAAGGATGGGTGTTGGGGCTGCAGCGTTTGTTAACTCTGTTAGCATGGCTTCCCGCTTGCCTTCTAATTGCTCTGTACTCGCCTCAGACTGATGTGAGGAGTAGCAACAGGCTCAATTGAATGCAGTGTCACGAAACACATCAGGGAAGGATACTCCTGACTCGTCTAAACTGCTAGATCAATCCGAACCCCTTTCTGCCATCCTGCTTTACTCTCTGCCCGGTCAGTCTCTTTCTGTCTCTTTCCTCTGTTGGCTTCTGTTTCCTCCAGTTTCTCCCTCACCTCTCTTGTCTCACTTTATCTCTGCTCGTTTTTCCTTCCTTTTGTTTCTTCTTCTATATGATTTTCAGGTTTCAGAAAAAAAATGTGCAAGTATGTAATATGTGATGCTAATTTTGGCTTATGTTAGATTTTCTTGTTATTAAATTTGAAGTCAATTAAAATAAACCTGTCAAAGCTAACAGACTCATCTGTATGATGATTAAGACTACAAAGTGTCATAATAGTGTGTGAATGCGAGAGTGAATGAATAGTGGCATTGTAAAGCGCTTTGGGTGCCTTGAAAAGCACTATATAAATCCAGTCCATTATTATTATTATTATTATTATTAATAAGAGTAGAGAAATATAAGAAGAAGAATCTAAATGAGTGTCTGTCTGTCTACCATAAAAAAACTCCAGATAATTGAGCTATCTACGCTTGAAACAAGTACCAATCTGCGTAGTAGCATGGAGCCTTGATGTGTAATTATGTTGTTATGACTGACTTTAAGGGCTGGAACATAAGGAGGGAGGTGAAACTGGATTAGATGCTAAGGATGATAGACAGACAGAGCTGGCCTCAGTCAATCATCAGTGAGCAGCTAGAACAGAAACGTAGAGGAGAAAGAAAGTTATAACGGCACACAACCGTGTTCTCGTCAAAGAGGTGATGCAGGCCTTACAACACAAAGGCAGTCCAAAAGGGAGGCAGGGAGTGTTCCCCCATTCCCCCAGTGCCCCCAAATCTAATTGGCTTCCCTCGGTGGCCCTCAACAAAGCCACTGGACTGGAGTAATGTTAATCTGAGAATCCCCACCATCGTTATGAGAGCCTGGATAGGACCAGAAGGAATGCAACAGTTCAGTTACTCATGTCCTTTACTGAGGTTTAATGTACTTGTCATTGAGTGAAATATTTTTATGTTACCCTGCTTTCAGCTTTTACTCTGTTTTATTTCGGATGCAATTATTGCACTTTAGATTTTTTTTGCAGATGAATTCCCTTAATATATGTAGGTAATTAAAATCATCAACAACTGCAACATAACAGATATACAGATCAAAAAAAATCCATATTATGAGACAATAATATTATGTACATGAATCTGGAATGTGTCATTCTGCATATTGACTACATTTATTTTGGATAGTTTAAATATATATTAATTATACTGTGCATTATTAAGCTGCTTAAGTACTTAAGTTTTAATTAAGTTAAAAGTCTAAACACTTTGCAAAACAATTATCCAACACAGAATTATGTTTAAAATCTCGTGCAACAGAACTTTTCACATAATAAATCTGTAATGACACACAAGGCTGCACATGAGCATGTTCATGGTCTCCCCTTTTGGCACCCATTTAAAAAATTTTGGAAATGCCCAGAGGCAGCAGCAAGATAATGATGTCTAATTAGCAGTGATTGACAGGCTCGTTTAAAGAAAGTGAGTTCATTCATTTTTTCCAAAATACGTGGTCCTTGAGGTTGAAGTGGGCACTGCAAGCATAGCCAGCAGATACTGTACCTTGTAACCAAGAGTATCGAGTGAGTCACAGCTGCTCTTTTCCAGTTTGTCTCTAATGAGTAAGTAAATGGAAACAACAATGCTTCTGTGTTCAGCTGCTAGTGGAAGCATTTGTCCATAAATGATTCCAGATACATATTTTTATTCTATAGTTTAACCTGCAAACAAATCTGTTTTTGTTCTTCAAGACTGGTGGTTCACCAAATTCCATTTAAGATTCTGGATGCTACATAAAATGCTTTAATTTGAGGGGTTTTATTTCAAAATTGAAAGAAATGCACATTAGATGCAATCCTCGTCACAGTTACACACTACCCACACTGCTAGGTTTCATGAGTACTTGGACAGTAGCCCACTAGAGATTTCTTTGGCTGCTCTGTGCTATTTTAAATGTAACACTCGTCGTGAACAAGTTGATTGACAGTAGCCATTTTGACTGAAGCAGTGTTGTCTATCCATATGTAAGTGAGGCATTGAGCAGAATTAAAGAAAAAAAAAATGAGGTTAACAAAAGCAAAAACAGAGACAAAGGTAGTGGGTTTGCCAGAATCTGCTGGTTATGCTCCAGCACCGCAAATGTGCACAGGATAGTTGGGAAGTGACAGCCAATCTGGTATTTACATGGAGCACAGCATGTCCATAATGCTCTCCATGATTTAGGTGGACATGTTCCCTTGTCAGTGATAATGACAGTTTCTGGTTAAAACCTCAGAGGATTCTGGTGGACTAGAAACTAATAAAACTGACATCTTCATTGAAGGCATATTTATTCACAGCTAGTTTAATGTAATAACCATGATTACATTTCAAACTAATTTGTAAAGAGGCAGAAAAGGAGGAAAAATATCTAACTGTTCAACTACTGATGCTGTGCATTCTAGATTCTTACTTTACACACAAAGTTTAAACTTTGAGAAAGAATATGAAATAAAGTGGGGAAAAAATAGCTAGTTACGATGACTTACTATGTATTTTCTTTTTAAGGTCAGCGCCGTCAGACTGCTCGCTGTCATTACATAAATTTCATAGGAGCTGAATTTAATGTGAAACATTGTGCTGCACTTTATACCTGTGAACAAATCAAAGTGTGATGTGAATTTATACAACTTCATTATTATTTTAAGTGCTGGTCTTACCAGGCTCTGAAATTAACACCTTTAATGGGTGCATTAAAAAAAATTAAAATTAAGTATTAATGGAAAGCATTTACCACTGTTGGAAAGGCTAAAGTTTGTTTTGCAAGTTAATAGTACCTTGTATTTTTATTCTCATGGATATTTGGTTGTTTATAACATTAAGGCACCAAATGGCACTTTTTAAAATTTAGAGTATAGCTGCAGCAGAGATAAAGATTTTGTCTGTCCTTAGAGTGAAGGACTTCTTTCTTGAGACATTTAATGAAAAGAAATCCACCGACGAGGACAGACAAAACAGAAGCCTCAGTGAATCAGGAGGCGATACGCTGTTTTTGGTAACTGCCTCACTTTTTCTTGATATGAAAAATCTTTCAATTTCAGCATGTCCATTACTGTCTCTCTGCATAGCCTACAGACACATAAAACAGATTTAAAGGCGTTTGGGGGGAATTTCTGAAATCATATTGTGCAGTGCAAAATGATGCATGTTTGAGGTGAGTGGGTGTAACAAAACAAGGAAATTTCAAGACTTGACATCACAAAATAATGGAATTCGGTGACATTTGCTGATAGATTGATAGTGTAGCAGTTTGTTCTAAGAAGGGGAGGACGTTTTCGTAGAAAATTGGCACTTTCTAGAAGTTCTATACAGTTTGACAAACCTAACATTACAAAGATGGAAAGCAATTTCGTGCATTTTGCTGTTGAAACTACTAGTATGATTTTGGCTTCAATTCAATTGGGAATTACCAGCAAAGCAATTTTTGGTGACAGTAACTCAAAACTGACTGTTTTATCCAAATAAAATTGACCATTTTCACACTGTTTTCATTACATATCATGGTATAAACGTTATGATTCTTTATAACACTTGCATTGGCTGGTGTATGCGGTTTTACGGATCTATGTGTGTTTCCTCTTTCTGTCCCTATGAAGTGGACTGGCCCAGAGTCACACCAGAGGGCCTCCTGCTTCTCTCGGTATTTCATTACAGCCACAGTAGGATGCCACCACAGTATATATGCACAACAAACTGAACCACCTCCTCCTCTTGTGCTTTCCCTGCCCTCCTCCCTCTTCTCCTCTCCCTGGGCCTCTTGTTTGATGTCCCTTTCCATTCACCGCCCTTCTTTTATCTTTCTCCCTGCACTGCCACTTTTCTTTTCTCTCTGTTTCCCTCTCCGTGCCTTCTGTCTTGGACTCTCCTACTTAACTCCCCGCCTTGTCTTTCTTATCTATCATCCCCCCAGCCAAGCCCAAGAATTCGGCCAATGGTGTGACTGTCCAAGCTGGCACCAAGTCGGTGGTGGTAGCCCGGTGTGAGGCAGCGGACGCCAAACCAGCAGCCACGATCGAGTGGTTGGCGCCAGTGGGAGGCAATCATTCGACCAGCACCACGAGCGGGCCAGACGGCACAGTGACGGTACGCAGCGAGTATCGGCTGGTCCCTACACCGGCAGACAACGGCAGGGAAGTGATCTGCAGAGTCAACCAGAAGACACAGAAGCAGCCTTGGGTTTACCCTATCAAGCTATCTGTGGAGTGTAAGGAAGACACACACATATATACACTCTTGAACAAAGCACTTAGAATTGTGTTCCCTAACGGGGTACTTTATTTCAATGATCACAAGACCAACTAAAGTTTTAAATAACTTGAAAGTGCATGCAATTTCAGACACAGATCAGTGCTTTTCAAAGAACCTGGAGCCCTTAACTTTCACAGTCACTTGCAAGTGCTTTACCACTAACTGAGAGGCATTATATACTGTTTCTGTAATGCAGTGTTACTTGAATTCACGGCAGGGCCCCACTGGTGGGAACAACAAGGGGAAAAAATGCAATTGAAATAAAGTTGACTAAACAGTAATTTTCTAGGGAAAATAAACAAATAAGAGTATTTTGCTATATCTTACATTGCCATTGTCGAAATAGTATAGCAAACCTGCAGAATATGTGACAACACATTTGGGATAGTGGTGCAAATGTACGCAGATAGACTGTGAACTGCCTTGTGAATGCACATCATGATCTAACAAGGACAAGTTTTCGCTGACAGTATTTGTGTACTTGGAATTGATTAAATTACAGTGGTATATCATGTTGCAGTCCACTGCTGGAACTCTTTGCTGAATAACTGAGGTAATGAGCTTAAAACCAGCCAAAAGCAAACTCAGCCAAGGTTGGTTTATTCGGTATGTCTAACTGTACCACAAGATCCTTGGTTAGCAACTAACGCATCCAGCAGCCTGTTGCTTATATCCTGTTTTGGAGTGTAATCCTTTGCTGATTAGCTATAAAACTGCAGGATTTTGTGCACTATTAATTGTAGCACCCTTAATGGGCTCTGCGTTCATTGCTGGTTCTCCTTAGTTGTTAATTTATCAGCAGATTATGACAAATGCATGCACTTAGAAATCTTTAATTACATGCAATATGAGGACAGATGAAGCAGATGCGTATGGAAACTCAGAATGTTCAATCTGCAGTAAACCCAAACTTTACAGAGAGCGCTTAAAAAGTAAGATGAAGAAAATGCCCCCAAAGAATTTTCTTTAATTTGTCCTTTTAGGTCTTTTGGCCCTCAGGTGCATAGAAAAAAATCACAAACACACATTTTGCACACAAATAAGCACACACACACACACACACACACACACACACACACACACACACACACACACACTGCTTTAAATGAATCCATTAAATTCCATTCTAATTTGCATGGGATTAAAATATTACACAGGTTCAGCGTGGCTTTCAAGAGATTTAGGGATGCCGCCAGCATCGTCTCAACGGTGTGACCTTGCTGTCGGTTACTGCAAAGATGGAACAGATTGTCTTCTTTCGGCTTGGTTTTATAATCTCTAAATTTTAGGTGGCATCCACACACAATCAAAGCGTGCATGTCAAATGTTGTTGAGAGAAATGTTGTTCTTACATGCGCTTGTCTTACGAGGACAAGACCCCTGACTGTTCTGTGACATTCACAGTGATATGGCTGCAAGTCAAGCTTTTAAATTATCTTAACTACCTTTCAAGAAGTGTACATCTCAGTATGTACTGTATGCACGTGCCCAGATTTAGTATCTACAAGATGCATTTTCTTAAATAAAAAGCAAAAACACCTCCAGATATGTATATCTGTGGAAGTCCTGTACTGATCACTTGCAAGTGTCTGTGATTTTTTTATCATAGCATTTATTATGTCTGCATAAAGTTTTGAAGATTACTGCTGATAAAAAAAAAAAGCGTTGGGTTCAAATAGCAATTGTCACTTTTCACTGACTTTACTTCCCAGGTTTGGCTCCCGGTAACTTAATCCTCTGGCTGAAATGAAATTCAGGTTTAGGGGTTGCCTTTGTTGCATGGAACACTGTTACGTCCCCTGGCTAGTCTAGGGGTTTGAAGGGACGAACATAAAGTGGATAGAGAAGGAGGAGCCAAGATGGTAATTTTAGAAGGTTTATTTAATACTGGTGATGGGATCAGACTGAGGTATAACGTCAGGGAGAGCCAAGGCCAACATAACAAACAAAACATCCCTGATGTTGAAATAAAAGAAACTTACCTAACTCCAAAGAAACAAAATATACAACCTATAACGCTAACCTACCTAACAACACATAAACAGGAGAAAACAGGGTGTCAAAACAAAAGGCAGCTCTCCCCTACAAGCAGTCTGAACATGAAACAACAATGCTCACACAAAATACAAAGGCATGCAAGCCTGCACAAGTATGGCAACCAAAATGGCCAGAGGGCACAGAAGAACAGCTCCACAGGCCTTAAATAGTGCTCTGCTGATTACCAATTAGCCGGACTCTGCACAACATCCAATCAGGACAGAGGAGGTGGAGCCTGGACAAAACAAAGGGTTAATAGGGAGAAGAGACATCCTCCTGGGGGATGTAACAGACACTTTCAGCTGATGGGTATGTGCAAGTGGTCGCAAGAAAACTCTCAGGCAACAACCTAAATAAGCAGGAGCAGTCCATTGAAGGGGATCCACCCATCCATCAGTGTTTTTTCTGCTTATTCAGTTCAGGAAATAGAGGTCAAATTTCATCAAACAAGGTTTATGCTTTTTATGGAGTCGAGGAACTTTTTCCATCGTGCCCTATTTGTGTGTACTTTATGTGTGTGTGTGCATGTCATGCACATGTAGCTCTTTTGAGGGGACACTCATTCATCTGTTTGAAATCCCAACTTAAACTTAATTCAAAGTAACCTTCAAATAGAAGTAGCCTTTAGTGAGGAGTGGAAAAACATGTCCTTGTACTTAAAATTGGTGCTCGCAGAGATAGGAGACCTGCAGCAGGCATGCTCACACAGCGTGATTCCTCGCTGTGTTTGTGTTAGTTTAGTGATGGTGTGAAGGATCATGTCTCCTGTCTACTGTGTAACTCAGATCAGCTTTTATAGGTCAGCGCACTCTAGGAGGAACACACACATCACACCACACACTTACCATCCTGTCCTGCTTCTTCTTACTCTCACTGACACACTGTCCTCTCCTCACACCTATAGTCCTCTCACTTGCTTTTCTTTTTCAAACCTGAAGGGAAAGAAAGCCACAAGGAAGGCTTTTTTGAAATTTCCACACACACACACAGCCTTCTTTGTGCTAAGATTGCCTTGTTTTTTGGTTTTTTTTAATGCCCTCTGGATACATGAGGATTAAATCTCAACTTGGTTTTTGTTTGTTTGAGAGCATGAAACTGATGCAAGACTTTAGAGCTGTTGCTATTTTCCAACATTTTTCTGTAATTTAAATGATTAAATTCAAAGTTATTGTGACTCTTTTCTGTGTTTCAGATCTACCCTCTGTGTCCATTGAGGGATACGACCACAACTGGTATGTTGGCCGTTCTGATGCCACGCTGGTCTGCCTGGCTAACGCCAACCCCGAGCCCACAACAATCACCTGGACTGCGTAAGAGTCACACTTAATCCATCAGGATATCTGGGATGCTTTTTGTCTTATTGCCTTCTGCTTTTATTTACATTTTACTCCTGACCTTCTTGTAAATTGGGTTTTAGTTGTAATCCCTGCAGAAATGTGCCTGACAATCTTCTTTTTCGCTGTAATGGTAATTAAGGGCAAATGGTGAGCCAGGTGTATGAGACAGGTGCGTTTTTTTGAAGGCCTGTTTGCCTGGTTGTTTATCAGCAACATTACACAGAAACTTCTCCGAGAGGAAGAATATGGGCAAAGGAAAAACCCACTAAATTACGTACAGCTCTGGAACTTTTTCATTAAAATCATAAAACCGGGGCACTGGCCTTGGCAGAGGATGTTTCTTTGCCATGCTTTGGCAAAAGATTTTTTTAAGTAGACATTCAAATGCATTTGTGTTTTTTAAAAAAAGAAAAAAAAAGTCGTTCTGATGGACAGATGGCTTGCTTTCTCTTTATGAATATTGAGCAGGGAGACAGAATGGCTGTTCGCATGATTTTTCACACATTACTGCCATCTTTGAATATTGCAGCAACAAACCATGTTCCTCAAACCACATTTTCTGTCTTTTCCCATTTTTTCTGTTTTTTTTTCTTTATTCTCCTTCTTTCTTTCATGATTTTGTCTTTTCAATTTCCCCCTTCATCTTATTTATCCAATTTCTCCAAATATATGACCTCGTCACTGCTTCCTTTTCGTCCCCACCGTCTCGTCTCGTCTTTTCTTGTTATCCCTGATTTACACAATGACTTACTTCTCCTGCTTTACTTCTTCATTACTTTGTTCCATTCCTCTCTGCTCTGATCCTTTGTGATCTCACCAAAAACCTGTACTCACGACCTCACTTTTATGTCCTCCCTGCTTCGCCTTCCTTCTCATCTTTTCCCCATCAACAGGGCTTCTGGTCCTTTGCCAGAAACAGTGGTGGTGGAGGGCAACAAGCTGACAGTGAGGAAGGTGGATGATGCTGTCAACACCACCTTCATCTGTGAGGTCAAGAATCGGCTCGGGTCCAGCAGGAACCAAATCACCACTGTTGTCATTGGTGAGTCTATTAACACAGTGACAACACACACACAAACAAGCACACACGACTTGTATATGTGTGGATGTTTGCACAAATGAAATGGAAATCCATGTATATTTACCAGTCAATATGATGAATACACACTGGTGACCCAACACAATACTCCATCACACCCAGCAGGAATACAGCAAACAGCATGTGATCACTGCTTGCACACACATACACTCACATACACACACACACACACACACACACACTGTGAGCCATGCTAGTTCCCTGACAATATTCCACATTGTCCCAGTGCACATATGCATGCACATATAGTCTCATACGCCTCTTCCGGTGGATGGATACACTTGCAGACATGCATGCACAGAAACATACATTTCTCTCTCACCCATGCACACATTCTGGGATCAGAGCTGATCTGAGAGCTGCAGGGATGCTGATCTCTCTCAGTCTTCACATCGGATTGTTTTTTTAATGTTTTCCTCCTCACTGGCCAAATTTTAGCGAGGCACAGTGGAGGCCTTTGATTGACCCTTTCCCCACAGCAGGGCCAAAATGCAAGACAAGGGCCGGTGTTTATAACCTCCGATCGAAAGCACTCTCTTGAAACTGAACTTTGCACTGCTACACTGCAGCGGGAATCTGTAGCTCTGCTGGATGCAAATTCAAAGTGAATTGTGGTGTATGATAGGCCCTTCTACAAGAGTTTTGGCCCTGCAGTGGATGCAGCGGTGCTGGGATTGTTGGACGATTTCCAGATTCTTTCAAGGGGTTCAAGTTGGTGTGAGCCAGTTTGCCCAGGTTTGCTTTTCTTCTTGTTTTTCTTTTTTTGTTTTGTTTTTTCTTACCTTTTCCTTTCATTGCATTTTTTTTGACTAACACTTACTAAACAAGGGAACTGAGTCGTTCATATTTTCTTTCCTCTTTCACCTTTGAATTTCTCCTTCTGGTAACAGTATAATGGTTGTGTCTGCATGCAGTCTTGATCTTTCTGCTGGGTCTTGACTTTTGACATTTACCAGTGAGATGATTTGGTCACTGTTGCCACGACTTTCGGTCACAGTTTCTTCTTCTACCCCC